GTTACCAATTCCGACAGCAAATCAGCCATTTCCGACCACATCAAAGCAAGCCCCAATAATCAAATGGAGTGGTCTGACATTACCATTCCCTCTAACAAACAAACAGACTTCACTAAACGCAAGCTCACCGAAGCCATCCACATCAAACGCCAAAAGCCCACCATCAACCGAGACCAAGGATACTTCATCCCATCCGCTTATGATGCACTCATCCACCAAGCCCAATCTACCGTATAAACTCTGCTGTATAAACATCTCATTATTATTTGTACATCATTGGCTTCCAGGCCTGTCCTTTGTCTACTTTCTGGCGTCACCAGCTTTCTGCCTAGCCAATTATGTCAATTATGTTGTTTTCTTTGTAACATTGTTACATCCATGTTCCATTATGCTTGACAACGGTACAAGAATCTGTATCGAAACGTCGCACTCACGAATAAAAAGAAGTTGTTATCCATAAAGTTTGTTCTATATTGTACTTCCCAACTTCTAAAATGCCACTCAAAGAAGGTAGTAGAAATGGCAGTCTGTATACAATTTTCTTGAGACATGGCAACATATTTCACAATCGAAGCTTTGGAACTGAGGATCCGGAAACTTGAGCGATCTCAACGGAAACCCAGGGCAGAGAAATTAGCTGTACCCCGTCCTTGTCAAGTTGGTTACAGATGAAATTGAAATTGATTATTTTCTTCTTATCATAGCAGTCAGTTTGCATCAAATTAAACGTTTTCGGTAGCAACGTTATTTTACAGTAACGGTTCGCTCGCATTTCGATTTCCCTCACGGTTATTAATGTGGACATTGCATTTTGGTGTGAAATCTGTAAAACAACATTATTGTTGATAACAGCTGAACATTCCGTTAAGATATAACCATAAGACAAGTACGCTTTCCGTGTTCCCCATTAAAATATACCTGTTTGTTGAGTCTGAAATGGTAATATGCAGCAAAGAAACAAATATTGATGAAACAAGTAGTTCATGATAATTAGGTGGAAAATATTACCAATCAACATATGTTCATAATCCAAATGTGTGTCTCTTTATGTTTTAGACTGTTGTGAGATGAATCATGGAAACGTTCGTGGAGTCCCTTGAAAATCCACTAAAACGGACTTATTTAAGGTAAAATAACTTGCTCCAAGTTTTATTATTGCTCGACATGATAATAATATGTATGTTGGGTTTTAACTTTTATAAGATTACGAATGTCATTGCCTCCGCCATTTTACACATAAATGCAAACCAAAATTAAAATTGTCAACTCGTGTTTAGTTCACAGTTGGGTTAATCTAGCATCTAATTATTTCATTCTGTCAATTAGCAATATCTTGTAGAATTGACATAGCATACCAAAGCTTTGTGCAGTGCATAATTTCTACTTAATCATGTTGACCATCTTAATAAAAACTTCTGATACCCTCTCAGTAATGCATATACCACAATTACTTATTACTTGGTTTGATACATGGTGTATTGTGTTGTCCTCAATAGTTAAATGTTTTAAATTTAATTACTAGTTTTACATTTATATCTGTGATATTCTAGGGGTTGTGTTTACTGTCCTTCGTTGACAGGATTTTATACTCTATCTTTAATTATTGTTTATATATATTGTTTTAGTCACGATATGGCTGAAATATTGCCAAAGTGACTTTGAATTTTAACTCACTCACTCACTTGATACATGGTGAATATGATAATAATCAAAATAAGGGTTGTCAGATTGTAATAATATATTATTGGAAAAATCAAAATGAACGCATTTGCTTTTCTTAATAGAAGCCTTTTGGGGAACCCGGAAGTGCAAGAGGGACCACCGACATGGCAGATTACAGGAAAGAATCAAAATCACACGGGAGATGCTAAAAGAAACAAAAGATTCCGATCTGTTAGTTCCTGAAACTGGACTATATAATACCATTTGTACCGGTTTATGCACTTCCTGACACCAGAGTTTGAAACACCTTTAGTCATTTAACTGACATGATGCGCTACATATTATCACACCACAACATAACTGTAATAAACTTATCTAATTAGACCAAGTGCCTCTCTCAAGAATACATGTTGGACATAACTTTCAGAATGCATGAATTGTATTTTCCCCCCAGAAGCTCCAACAGCGCCCGATGAATCTAGTAGTATTAAATGGACTGAGAAAAGAAAACAGAAGGTGGCTGCAGTCCTAACCCCAGAATTGACATCGCCTGTGGTGTCCGACGAAGAGGACTGTAATCTTGTCCACTCTGTTGGATTTACATGGGAAAGCGAGAAGCTGCTACACTATAAGACTTTACTGGACGATTGTAGGACAAAAACCCCTGTGGACAAAAGCCCCCTAGGACAAAAACCCCTTAGGACAAAAACCAAAAAGGACAAAACCTCCAAATGAGGAACTCCCAAGGTTTTTTTGTCCTGTTTTTTTTTGTCCTGGGGGGCTTTTGTCCACAGGGTTTTTGTCCGCACACCTACTGGACAATGAACGAATGGCTTCAGCATGCTCCAGAGCCATAGCAAAAATGAAGACCTTGCGATGCGATGATTTACTGAAACTTATGGAATATGGTTAATGTGATTAATAGAAACGGAAATCAAAGGGAAACCTAGTTGAATTAAGTAAATAACTGAAACCAGCTGAAAGTAGAGGAACTGAAAGTAGAGGATAGCAGAAACCCAATGGCACCTCTTAGGAATCTGGGTAACTGAAACTCACTGGAAACTTACAGGAATCTGGGTAACGGAAACGCACTGGAAACTTACAGGAATCTGGGTAACGGAAACGCACTGGAGCCCTACAGGAATCTGGGTAACGGAAACGCACTGGAGCCCTACGGGAATCTGGGTAACGGAAACGCACTGGAGCCTTACCGGATTGTGGGTAATTTGTTTTTTAAGTTTTTGTTTTCCGGAAACTTGAAGGAAATGTACAGAAACGGTCCGGAAACTTAACTGAAACTTAAGTTTCCATTTTGTTTCAGTTAGGTTTCCAGTGTCCGGAAACGAAATTGTTATTGCTGTGCGTGTACCCATCATTTAGCAAATATCACGTTTCTGGGAACTGTTCTTACAGCTCAGTAACCTGGAACATCAATTGATTTCACTGCTGATAAGCAAAAATGTGTCTTCTACTCAGTTGACATCTTCACAAAGGTAGCTAGTAATCGTTATGTGGAATGCTGGCATGTCATTGAACCCTTGGTTGTCATCCATTGACTATCAGCCTATAGCCCAGAAACTAATGACTTTTTCGTACTGTCACCGTTCAGGTCGACCGCGAGTGACAACACCAACGGAGGATACACCCCTCCCCAGAATCACAAGACATTTTGTGAGACTTCCACACCGCCGTCTTTGCCGGGTACAGAGTTGGGTACGACCTTTCTGACGTCCATTGGTATCCTCGGAACACAAAGCAGCACGACTAGCCTGGTGTGAAATTCGACGACCCTGGAATTATAGGAAGGTCCACTGGTCGGACGAAAGTCGATTGCCGAGGTCATGTTTATATGTGCTCAACGGAATATCCTGGAACAAGTACCAGTCTCCAGAGGATTGACTGATGGCGTGGGGATGCCACAAAATGACTCTAAACTTGATCTTGTGACAAAATATGAATAGGCAATGATACATAACTGTCATCCTGGATGAGATCCATTTCTCCCGACACAAGGCCAGCCTTGATGGACCATACATCGTGATATTCTATGTCAAGAGTCTCAACCCGCCAAGAGTCCAGATCCTGTAGTGCATTGGAACAAGGCCTATATCAAGCCCTAAATCAAGAATGCAGTAGTTCAACGTCAAATCCATCGACTAATATAGTCAGTGTGTCGGAGATCAGGGACTTCATTGCACTTGGCGGAGGTTCAACCAGATATTGACATTGTGCTCGCTCATTGATACTGATTGAGGATTGTATGCCAGAATCTCAAAAATGACCGCACTTGTTAAAGTCATATGACCATGGTTATCAGCACTCCAAAAGGAGTCAATTGTTGACATGTTTGCTTCTCTGAATAAACTGGTTTCTTGATCTTTTTTGTATTTATATCTGTAACTTATTATTCCTTGAGGGTCAGGTTATCGATTTTATGTTAATCTGAGGTTTGGACAAAGTCCTTTGCTATAATTAGTAGTAACATACTGATATTGGGTGTTGCGATACTTGTTCCCATGTGTATATTACAGTCTTATTCAGTCTCTTCAGACTATACATACAGTTAGAGACTCGTCATGGAGCAGAAATTTCTTATGATTTGGTAAAGGAAATAAGGCTTACTATAGTATTATCAAGCAGAGTCATGGTAACTGCGGCCCTTTGTGCATTGACAATACAACCATCTGAGATGTATATCTACATTTAGCAAATATACTGCACAGACGGAGGTACTGGTGTGCATGCTCCACTACTCTCTGAAAGTCAATAAGCCTGTCCAGTCTTTGTCTGTACACAGTAGTGTTCATAATGACATTAAGGGGCGTGGAGGGCGAGCTGGCTAAGGCGCCAGGCTAGTGATCCAGCGAGCATGAGGTACCGGGATCAAGCCCATCTGTTACCGGGTGTAAAAACCTTGGAGTCAGCTTTGTGTGCAGACTCGTTAAGTGTTGTCACAACCCCTAGTGTACAGTACACAACCCTGTGCACTTAAAAAAACCCACGAATCCGTTGGTAAATGACCAGATGGTGGCCACATGAATACGTGCAAACACCTTGTTGCGGGTACAGCAACGTGCAGTAAACTTGGATAAAGTACTGTGACCACGTGTCCCAGTCCACCCAGCTGTGAATGGGTACCTCGTAAGGATGGGAAAGCTGCAATAACTGGGTTCGCCTTGTGGCAACAAGAGTTGTATGATTCCCAGGGAGTTGACATTGATAATACGATGTGCCGTTGAGATTGACATCCAATGATCAAGGGACAAAATACCAGCGCCTTGAGCATGCACTAGTGCGTGGATATGTGCGCCATATAAATGTCCAATAATAATAATTACCATATCTTCTACGGCACCAGTAGAACGTTTCCTTCCTCCCAAGACAATTGTTGCACTGTAGGACGTCTTCATGGGCCCTTATGCGGTAGGCGAGGTCGGTGGTTCCTGATTTGCACACGCCAAGAATATGGTAGTATGGGACGCACTTAAGACGAAGTTTCCCGTTCTCTTTTGCGTACCAGCAGGGGTTCTTGAAGTTGGGCAGATATGTTGGTCTTTCCTGTTATATGAGACAGAACGTTATATATTAGCACTTCATTGATTTTTTTTCACATCGTATGATGCGTAAAACAGCATAATCTTGATAGATGCTCAGCACACAAGCATCATGGTTCCAGATGAGTGAGTGAGTGAGTCGTAGTCTTACGTCGCAATATTCCAGCAATGTCCCGGCGGGGAGAACGCCAGGAATATTTTCACGCATTGTACCCATGTGGGAAATCGAACCCCTCGGTTACAGACGACCTTTCAAGACCCAATAACACTTATACGCTGCCGTAATTATTGTTATTCGTTCCGTAAACATGGGTGTGTAGCACGTTTCCTCTAAATCAAAACTCGACAGATGATATACATTGAAGCCACCACAAATAGCTTGATCAATTAACGTGTCCTTTGTGTGTGCATTAATGGTTTTGGAAAACACAAGATTATGATATTTTCATAAAATAACACGCCTGGTACTTCACAGAGAAGTGACACTTCAGCTATTTCAGTGGGATAAAGCGTCTGTGAATTGTGTGTCCAGTGTGGAGAGTGTAGGATGAGAAGACAGTATGGTCGTGGACGTCTCCTATGAACGCCGGCACCTTTAGTTTTAGGTAGGTAAAGCAGTGAAGCATGCTAATTGGTAGAGAATGGTAGATTATGGGAGGCTAACTAAGGTGAGCGGAACATGGGTATAATGTGTGAAGCCCATTTCTGGTGTCCCCCGCCGTGATATTGCTGAAACATGCAAAATGTGGCGTAAAACCATACTCAATTACTCCCGCACTTTCCAAAAATAAGAAGCAAATCCTTTACATACCATACAGAATAGATCCTCTGCCGTGTGTAACCCTCCTCCCACACACCGAATTCCATGCTTCTCTGACGTATTGTCTACTTTCTTGGATTCAGATAGGTAACCATGTGAAGATATGATGTTCTTGATGCCATAAATGTCCATTCCACTGCCGTGCTGAGACACAAGCCACAGTGAAGCGCAAACAACCAGAATCAAAAACATCCGTTGTCCCAGTGAGACCTTCATCGTGACTTGCTGGAAAATGACATATGCTCCAATATATATTGTGTGTTTTTTTTATTAGCTTTTTTGTCAACCACATCGCTATCAAGTTAATAATATCCCGTTGAAGATTGACAGATCAATAACGACTCATGTATAGCAGAGATATGTTATTATCTGCTGTTTAGGAATACGTGCACGAAAATTCAGAGTTATATATGCAGCAGGGAAACTCTCCCCTACAACAACACAAAGGGCAATCCCAAACAGCAATCTTTTGAACGTTTGTACAACATTTGGGTTAATTAAAAGTAGCGTGTCTTCAGCTCAGTTTGCAGTTGAACCAAGAACCAAGAATCAAAATTCTAAAACATATGTGCACTTAATCATGAGGGAAAATACTTTTAAAAGTGAGTGAGTTAGTTAAAATATAAAGTCACATCGGCAGTATTTCAGCCATATCGTGACTAGACAGTTTTAAATTAACAAAAAATAAAAACAACCTATATAGTCTACTTACTTGTCTGCAAAGGACAGTAAAACAAATAGATTATCACAGTAATAAATTTGAGACTAGTATTTAAATCTAAAATATTTTAACTATTAATATATTTTAACAATACAATCTAAAACAGGCTATAGATTGCCAACAACTGAAGGTAGATCACCATACTAGGGACCATGGGAACTTACAGTATATTTGCTTCCTGCATTGTCCGTAGCTGTATTTACATCATCCTTTCAGTTGTTTGCAATTTAGACAAATCTAGCCATACATTACTTTTAAGAGTTGTTATGAAAAACAGTGTAAATACAAATTAAACGAACCTTTGTCCGGGAACTGGATGCGTCTGTATTGTTGCAGGACAACAAATTGCTTTGGCTGTTCTCAAATTACTTAAATATATTTACATACCGTACTTTTCCAGAAACCAATATCTGCTCAAACGCCGTATAGTGATTTCCCTACTGTCAAAACTGCCGACGGAATCTAGAAGTATATTACATCCATCTCACATATAGGGTATCGATTTTCTTGTGGATTAACAGAGGCTGGTTTGAACTGAACCTCACATCCAGGATGCTCCAGACGTTCTGAACGTATTTGTGTGTCCACCGTCTGGTGATGAGAGGTTGTCATTGCATTCAGCAAATTAGTTACCAGCAAATGGACTAAATATGGTTGTCACACAGCACAGCTGCCTGAAACACAATTTTGAGCAGTGTCACCCGGTAGGCGAGGGATGACACTGCTACAAAAATATGTACATCAGACCGTATTACCCGAGGGAGAAGCATACAACGTATTTATCTTACTGCCATGTTAAATGTACAAAATATCATTTATCTTATTTTGAAGATTTCGCTACCGACTATATGACATATGCCTCTCGACTCGATTTTAAAATCAGTGAAACACATTCTAACAAGCTCAACCGCTATAGAAATTGTTAATTGTGTTAAGTTGACTGTGCAAAGGATTCAGTGTATAAAATAGTTTGAAACCAGTGAAAGTCGGCAAAATAATCTGTACAGAGTGAGCTCAAAAACAGCTAATCGTTATATTATGACGTCATACGATTGTTAGCGATACAACTTCTCAGCGGAGAGTTTGGTGGTTACCGTGACAGTGGGTAATATTTTTCCAGTTGTCACCCTCCTGGGAGGGGTGACAAGGAAACTTGTTAAAGCGTCATTGACCAATGAAATTAAAGTATTTTACATGAAGGTAAGATAAGTCTCTTTATTGACTGTAAAACAATCCGTTTACTACTCTTCAAATGATGTTTAAAAATACAATTAAAATATGTGACAGATGAATTAAAGCAACCATACCACATGTATTAATTATCTGTGGCATTGGTGTCACACAAAGGGAACCTTGGTCGCAGTTAAACTCAAAAGTGTAAGTGGTGATTTTAGTCCAAATTACAACATATACTTAGTGGGCTGAACAATTACTATGCTATAAAGCCAATATACACCATTGTGTGGTAGCTGGCAGCTTTTCAATGGTCAATATTCAGTCACATGATAATTAATGGTAAATCATATATGGTATACATGTATATCGAACAGAACAGACCAATACAATACAATTAAAAGACAAGTACAGTGTTCTTTTCATACTAAGGGCAGCATTATTATGTGTTTCGCCACCATGATCTAAAGTTTGATCGGTCGGTTTAAAATAAAAACAAATAAGAACTGAAAAATCTTCATTTGTTCATATTTACATCAGAAAGGAAACAAAATATCTGTGACTTTGATTCCGCTTTATGTTTCAATATTTAGGAGAGGTTAACGTAAATCTGCACCTGGAGAAGAAGGAAACACATGTCTTAATAACTAATATATTCTGTTTTCTTTGGTATTCAACAAATGAAAAATATGTACAATTAAATCATTTGTTGTCAAATTTGCAGATGCTTAATCTATAACACAGGTCGCAAAAGCTGCAGAGAACAACGAAAACAACAGAAAACTTCAAAATATGCTGAATCAGATGTTACTGTCACAAAATCATTAAAGGATGTCTTTACTCTTTAACATAAGGACCCGTGAAGATCCGGGTTAGAATTGGTCTTCAGTAACCCATGCTTGTCGTAAGAGGCGACTTACGGGATCGGGTGGTCAGGCTCGCTGACTTGGTTGACACATGGCATTGTATCCCAATTGTGTAGATCTATCCTCATGCTGTTGATCACTGGATTGTCTGGTCCAGACTCGCTCATTTACAGACTTCCGCCATGTAGCTGGAATATTGCTGTGTGCGGGTTAAAAAACAACCAAAACCAAATTTGTGAATTATTTCATGTCTTCTACCCACCTCTATCAGTTTGTTCTGAGAACATTCATTTTTTGTACAAATACAAATTACGTAACGCTACGTTACATGCATTAAGTGAAGACAAACAGACAAAAAAACAGACAAGCAAACAGAAAGATACAATGGAGTTTAAGTCTCACCTTTTCGCACAGAAATATTATGAACAATAAATACGTACAGAAGTCATTTTTATAGAAATTGGAGACTGCGGTATATAGATTTACAACAATAACTTTCATCACATGAAAGTAAAAATATATAATATGCACGTATAAAAACACCAAATATAAGGTAATGGGTATATCAAATTACAAGATTAAAATTGACTAAATGAAAGTTGTAACAGACCAACTGATTAACTGACTGATCAAGGTTTTTTACATGTCATAAAATTGAACTCTTAGCAGGACGCAGTGGGGCTACTGTAGTGGAATACTTTCTCTAATTAACACCTGTCACAAGGTACACAACGTTTGCGCTTCTGCTGTATGGAACGTGTGACGCAAATGGTGTCTTCACGAAATACCATAAACCAACAATCAGTTTAGTCCTGTGAGGTCCGTGTTCTTTGGCATTCATGAACTTGTTAATGGAAAATTGGTTCTGTCGTCCAAACATGGGCAGATTGTGGCATGCGTATCTACATATACATCATTGTGTAACTAGTTAATTTGATCGTTTGATCGTGACTAAATGATTTAAAATAAATTCATTTTAGATCACGTTTAATAATGTTGATAGTAGAGAAATCAAGTTTATATCACATAGGATTCCAGAGAAAAATACATTTGAAACATTCAAGTTTAGGAAAAGCATTACATTCATAATAAGTAAGGCAATCAGTGCAGGCAGGAATTATTAACCCTTATCTCACAATAGGTTGAGTTGAATATTAATATCTGCATTGTGAACACAGCCTCCAGGTGTTGCAAGAAGCAAGGTCTGAATATTTATTTTTGTGTAGTTTGAATGACTCGGCATTTCCAAATGTATCACCGTGTACGTATTTATGTTATTTTATAATTTATTCATATATAATACGTCACTTTCACTTACTGCTGCCCATAAATGGCAGGAAGCTAGGTCTGAATGTTTATAT